ACACGAGGTAAAGACGAGATAAGTGTAAAAGACAGGAGAAAAAAGTTTGGGTTAGTTATTAAATAAGGACTTCAAGTGGCACTTTTCCTTGCAAACTTTGCTCAAGACGCACGTGGTTGATTATTGTTGAAACTTTTTAGTCAAATATTTAACTTTGCGTTAATTTGTGATCCATAGCCGCGCACAGGCCTTCGTTAATGAAAGGTATTTATAATTTAGACGTCACTATTCAGGCCCACGTTTCTCACTCAACGGGTATTGCGAGTTTCGTGCCCAAACTGTTGATAAACCTCCCCGGCAGCGTACACCTGCACCCCAGGGGAGACTGGTGAATGTACTATTAATGTTTGGAGCCCGTCTAAAAATCCTTGTCCGTGACGAGTGTGAAAATGAACACCCCGCGTTAAGACGTGTTAAATTGCAATTTCCAGTAAAAAAAATTAAATCCATCGTTGTTTTTAAAAGCAAAAGTTTTTGTGGGCTTTCCTTCGAGACTTACATTAATGCACAGTAAAGTAGTTTATCTCACTTTCAAATAACAACTACCATAGCGATCGTTAAAATTTTTCCCTCACATTTATCTTATTGTTTAAACTTAAAACTAGAGGTAGAGGACCATAATTCATGATTTACTCTGTATTCTCTTTGTGCTTTCAAATAGGATCCCTTTGTGACAACTAGTAACAGTCGTGTGTTGTCATAACAGCCCCATTCCACATACATAACCATTAAGATTTGCTATTTGATTATACAAGTGGGACAGACTGCGCGTCACAGCATTGGATGAAAAAGTTAGAAACTCACTTTATTCATGCGTGCTGAAATTACGAACTTGTTTGCACACAGTCTACACAAAAAGGCGATTTATCAGGCGCGTGGTTTTGTTTTTACTTCGATTGCCCTACTTTCGATGGACTAGAGCGGCAATTTAGCCCATCACCCGCAGTAGATCCACCAGGGCACATAATCAATTAACAAATCACCTCCCTGACCCGTATCAATTTTTCAGATAAGATCTTTAATTCTCAGGAAAATGGGGACGGGAGCAATCCTTTCCTCCCTGATACCTAGTATTTTAACCAACAAACAAATGTGAAGTGTTTTAAAGAGTGACTTCAAAGCACTGTTAAATAAAAACACTATTTTAAAGGTATACTTTACTGCCGTTAGTTTTTTCGTGCTGATGTGTATTCCATATTCACGAGCAAAGGAAAGAAACCTTGATGTTACATTTTTTGTACACAACAACTACAGATTTTTTTTCCAATATATTTTATTGGCCTGATGTTCTGTTCTTTAGCGACTCAAAGCAATAAGCCAGTGAACAACCCTTTCTCAGAAATGTATCACCAAGTAAATGTTGAGTTTACAATTTGAACAGAGAAACCTATGCATTCACTCTCTCCTGAATGGAATCATAGACTGGTCCCATCTCGTACGTATAGTCTCTAGACGTCTTATAGACGTCCTCAGAAGGTAGGGACTAGTAGCGGCCGCGGGTCGTTAATCCGCAAGAATCCTGCCAGGTGTAAACTAAGGGAACAATGCCCGCTTAGTGCGTGAATCAAGAAGAAGCTGATAGTATAGTCTTCTTCGTTGCCGAAAATAACTTCATCATAAATGGTTAATTTATCTAGAATTTAACACAATAACCACTGATTTGAAATAAATTGCCGTAAAACGATTTATCGATGATAATCATTGAAAAATAAATTACAACACTGTGATCAACAGAGGCTTAGCAATACTTGTGCTTTATTCGCCTCCCCGCTGAAACATATTTCATGTAATGGCATTGATATTGGCCAGACAAAAACTTAAATATTCAGCATCCAAACTGACAGGGCTAATCACACACGTTAAACCACAGCTTGCTACCGGTCCCTATATAAAAGGGAGAGGCCAGTCCAAATGAAATCACAGCAACAATGCCCTCATTAGTTCAGAATGGCCTAGACAATTTGAATGTTAAAAAACTGCACTTTTCAATACATTTAACTTGAAAGGAATGTCAAGTAGTTTTTATACATTGGAAAAGTATAAAATTGCAGAAAAAAATATTTCTACGAAAAATTTATTTACGTTAGCGAAAGAAACTTTTAAGGATTAATTAATGTGTTCACACTTAAATACCTGTTAACATGATTTTTACCTGGAAACATAAATAATTGTGCGAATTGCTATATGAATGTTATTTGGCTAACCTTGTTGAAAGGCTGACTGTTTTAAAATGTGTTTTGATCATGCTTTTTTAACCTAAGAGTGCTCTTGCTGTAATGCCATTTCAGCAAACACTGTTCACATAGGGTTTTCAATCAAAACAGTATCGTGATCGAACATTATTTTTCACACTGTCAGTCAGGAAACTTTGGCAACTGCGAACCACCGCCAAGAAAACAAACTTAAAGACAGCAAAATATCAAACGTTTCTTGGAAAATTAATTTTGGTTCTGTAAAAGCTGTGGTTTTTCTTCCCAATAACACCTTTGATCGTAAATATGCCAGTAACCTTATGGTATGATTCGGTTTGAATTTTCCAAGCCCATTTCGGCACTTCATTACATACACTGAGTGTTTTCGGGGGGGGATAACGAGAATACTACAAATTGAAAGAGAGTGTTTAGTATAATAATGCAGTGTGTAAAAGTATAAAGAGACACTTAAAGAACAAGAGTAACTTCAGCTCTTTATTTCAGGTCGTTTTTAGCCCCACCGTACACCCCTCAACCCCTTGCCCCCTCGTCTGTGTGTGCTGCACGAAGAGCGAGGAATTTTTGATGGGTCTCCTATCTGCCTTGAGCAGAGGCATCCCTCATCGATCGGAAAGAGTCATATTGGAAGGGAGTGTTGGCTTTCGTTGGTAGCTAAGCCAGTGAAGAGCATCACCATAGGTGCCTTTGTTGCTAGGAGAATTGTGCCCTCTCTCCGTCGCGCTCGCGACTCATAGTGCTAAACTCTCTGGTTTCAACAAGCATCCTTTGTTAAATGTTTTTCGAAGCCGATCATACGGTCCGTAGGCCCAGGAATTCTCCTGTGTCGCATGAAAACTACAGACTGCAAGGTTCTGATCTGGGCCTGTACAAGAACTGGACGATTTAGGTCATTTACTTCTTCGTAGAAGGAATTCGGTAAACGTTAAGAATTCTAATATTTTGGGTAGTTGAAAACCCGCTTCTTTTTGCCTGCACAGTCTTCTGGCTGACTGACATTTAAGGGCGACGGGTGGTGATTCCTTATAGTACAAGGAGTAAATTAGAACAAGCAGTACATTCGGTCAGCACAAATCCCAGAGGAATATTCTGTCTGAATTAATAACCAACTGAGTGGCTTTGTCCTGTTCTGAATCGATTCAAATGATTTTTTTCTTAAATGTCAGCAAAAAGCCAAACAACCACTTTTACACTGGTTTACCACATAATCGATATTTGAGATTTAAAAATAAATGACGAGTTGCATTTAGCAGTGACCAGTGACCGAACCGTGTGGGACCGTAGACATTTGCCGATGATAACTCCGAGACCATGAAGGTGGGCAGCACAGAAATGCCTGTTTGTACGCCTTGAAAAGAAATCGTTAATTCGTGGCACAGCCGCTTAAAGACCTTTTCTCAACGTTCGGCAGTTCATTGATTCGGGCAGAAGAGGTGTACTCTCTGAGTTTGTGTACTTTGTCATTTGCCGTTTCCCGAGTGTGTTTGCACTGGCAGACCGTCAGAACACTAATAACTTCTGCTGGGGCCGCGACTGCGGAGCTGGCGGCAAACAAAATAGTACGCCATGCACGACTTTTGAGAATTTGAAAAGTTGACCACGCCAAAAAGGCAATAATTGCAAATCAATAGACGTATAAGACTGTCCCATTGTTCACAAAATATGATGGCCTAAGCTTTAAGTGGAATGCAGTATTAAAGCATGTTACGTCGGATTTTACAGAGCGCCTAATACGATCACTTTCGGAAAATGACTTGCATCCAAAATGTGTTCACGGGGTAACTTCCTGCAGCATTTATGCATAGGCGGAAGACATGGTGCAAACAAATGCAAGGAACAGTGATATAAATCAAAGTGTAAGACCCCAAAGAATACGAACAATTGACAAAAATCCCACAAAAAAGCCACCAAATCGCATGCCGTCGTTAGGCTAATCGTCAAAATATTTCTTGGATTATAATAGCTTCGCTCTTAAAACTAGGATCTGTATGGGCCCTTGAATTTTATGCTAGCTTATATTTTGCAAAATGTTGAGCTTTACAGCAGGCTTTGGTCAGTTGTGCCTGCTGTATACGTTACCTCAAGTAATAATCCTGCCCACTAAATGGACTGGGAGGGGTTTGACTGCCAGATCAGCAGAAAGATGATGAGTTTTTATGCCCACTTGAACTTTGATATAGAAACATGAAGCTAGAATTAATTTTCTCACCCATTTATTTGAAGGAGAGGAGGTGGTTGAACGTTCAAGTTTAAATATCGTATTTTTTCAAATTGTGGCTTAATTTGGCTTAATTTCTTGGAATAGATCCGAAATAGTTGGTTGCCCACTGTTGAGTCCTAAGTTGCGGCTCACCCGCTAAGTCGTTGGTAACCTTTCGAATAGTAGTCCCAACGTCACTTAGGCTCCAAATAGAGTTCAGTGTGCTTTTAAGTCACACAGATTTGATGAGTTTGAGAATTATGAAGTTATCATTCGTGTATCCCTCCCTTGATAAGCTATAATATTACAATAACTGTACTGACTACGGCCAATATGTTCTCGTTAAACAAATTGGTCTAGACGGGATAAGCCCCATATTAGCTGAAAAATATACACAGAGCATTAAAATACCTCTTCAATAACATGATTATTTCGACACGCGACGACAGTACTCTTTAAGATTGTAAGACCATGGTGACAGAAAAAACAGCTCATCTGTGTCCCTAAAGGATGGCAACTTAATGTTCATCGCTCTTAACTGGCCGAACAAACAGTCGAAAAATGGACTAAGAAGGGAAAGCAGCACTCACCGGCGCCGGAGCGGCCACGGCAATCTTCAGTAGACACAGGATGGCCAGAGAAAAGCCAGGGCCACCGGATCTAGTCATGATGAGATGGCAGACCACACCAAGAGAAAGGAAAAAGAAAAGAGGAACTAACACGCTGGAGGAGCAGATGGTCAGCGGCCAATGAATTTGATGTACAGAGGCGACTGGTGCTTTTTAGCGGGAGATTCTGAAGGAGACAAGACTGCTGAGATCTCTTCTGCGCAGCTGGCACTAACACGATGCCTTTTATCCGATGGGCTCTTGTGGCCGTGGGTGAGGTATGACGTCACTGGGCCATCTCTATCACTGATTGGCTTACACGAAAAAAAGGATTACCGGTAGAACTAAAACCATAAAGATTCGAGGACTGGACTATCGTACTATCATAATATTTTTTCTCCGATACATATCTGTATGGTACTTTGATTTACGTTGTGATTGATGCAATGTCTTAACTAGCGCAGAGGAGAGATTGGTTTGGAGCCAGAGTAGTCTAATTCCTCTCTAAAAGATGAGACTTGGATTCTGTGGAATCTTTCAAGCTTTCAAATTGGACTATCGTGAGTTTCGCTGGCGTCACTTGTACTTTCGAGATGACAATGCCTGATCTTGATGAACAGTGTAAGATGCATCGCCAAAGAGCAACGAGCGATGCAGCTCAGTTCTTGTATTTCCTTACAATATGTGATGCTAGCGCGTGTACATAAATACATTCATCATTATCCTGGTGAACCCAGCGCCCTCCATCCTCCCAGTCTACACCTCTTGAGTGACGTAAAACTGGCGTGGATACTGGTGCACAGAACCCCACCCCTCCAAACATGCCCATACTCACACCATACATGCACGAGGTCTGGACCCCTGCGCACCATTGCCCCATTTTGATAGATGTGCAAAATTTTACCTCTACCCTTGAAAGTATAAACTGATGAAAAGAAGGAAAAGGATGATGTGGAATAAGTCAAACTGCGCGCCTTTTTATGTGGAGGTTGTCAGCTCTAAGTGCCTCTGGAAAACAGATAGCGCAAACTATTCTGCTTATTAATTAACAGTGGCGTAAATCTGTGCCGGGGACGTGGGGACGGGGGATGACTTCAAGAAAAAAAATTATCCGGCCGTGGAAATGCAATAAGTGGGGGAAATAGCTGGACACAACGTGACACTAACAGGGGCGCTGTTCATGGCATAAATGTTCATCTGATTTTACGATCTTTAACCCTAATACAAACAAAGAATGTAAGGCTTTTGTACTTTTTCTGCATGCGTTTTGGGTGTTAGGAAGTTCGAAAAAATACAAAAACCTCACAATTTTTTTCAAGACAAATGGTGGATGATCCAGTAGTCCACTTCCAATAAAGAAGCGAGGAGATATATAACCCCTCCCCTGGATTTTAGTCCCTGCAGCTCAACCATCGAAAAACCAGACATAGTCCTTTTATGGAATCTGCATGTGGTTAACATTAACAATTGTATACGACTAAGTTTGATTTTCCAAATGAAATAAAACCTGAAAAGCCATCCGTTTATTGAAACACATTTTCTTTCAGATAATCCGCTAAGAAATAAAGGTATATATTCTGGCTATGGTTACTCTTTATATTTTTCTCACAAATTTGGGAAATTACCGTATGGGGACACTTTCAGACGCCGCGTTCTGGAACCTCACCGGCCGGTCCGAGGTATGTGTCTCAGGTGTATAATGTATGAACGCAGAACTAAGAATTCCATATTCTGCAATACGAAAATGTAATGGTTTGATCAAGTGGTCCATTGTGGCCTCTTACAGTTGTTGTGCTTGACGTGACATTTTAAAGATGTCACTGACGAAGGCTGCAACCTCGATTATACCTCGATTTTCCATCTATTCAACAAAATCTCTTAACAACACTGCAATGAACGTTTTTAACGAACGTATTTAAATGCAAACTGCGATCACTTCTGCGCACGTCTGTTGGTGTTTCTGTAGACAAATCCAATGAGTTGTGCACCACTACAAATAAATTCCCATAGACAGCAGTGATAGATCCCCATACTTCACAACTATTTAAAAAATACTCACAACTCTCACCGGTGTTCAGGCTGCACAGAAAAATGATGTTCCAAATGTCCTCTTTCATTTTCCTTTCAATTTTCAGGGGGTTGACCAATGAATTTTTGAGAAATTTTCACCAGAAGCAGACCACCCCTAAAATGAAGAAAATGTCCCTGTCCAGAAAAGTAGCCATTTTGAAAAACCATCCCTCTGCAAATAGTACCACTTTCGGACCCGATTGCATCCAAATTTCTCAGAATTGGAAGCCCTGAGTCCGGCCCAGAGGTCCAGTCTCATATTTCTTCAATTCCTCAGTTCCATGACTCTCAGGACCCTCTAATATAGAATATTTTGAGTATATAACTTTAATTAATGAGCTCAGCGGACATATTTCTGGCCTAAATACAAGGGTGCACCCTGATACGCCATTCTGAGTGGTCGTTTACACTCACGCAGCTGTCCCAACCTGAGCTTGGGCGCGCACTTCGATAACTGACTACTGCCTATTGGTCAAGGAGGAATTTCTCGCTCGCGCACCGCCTGCGTGCGAACAGGATGACCCCCGTAGTTCGTGGGGACCCAATTTCAGTCATATCCCCCACGTAGTGTATTTATTTGAAAACGTTAAATTCAGAGAACCAGACTATATTCTACGATTTCATTCCGACCCCAAACTCACCTGGTACCATCCCATTAAGGGTTTCAAGTTTATACTGTACGTTCGTAAATACGACTGAAATTGGGGACACCGCGAATACAGTCTATTTTTGTTGTCGGATTTGTCTGTACATAGAGTACCGAAGCGCGAACGTCATTTTGAACCACGCCCTAAATTAGTCGTGCAATTGATCTCCGTGTAATGGAGATCAATAGTTAGTGCTATTCATCTCTATTATAAAGACTTTATGATGGAGATCAATGGTCAATGCAAACGAATGGACTACACACGCGTTCACGCGCTGGTTCTTGCGCTGATGCCATAGACATATAAACCCATGCCTTTTACACTGTGCACGTGACGTATTCTCTTCCGTACGCTGTATGAGTCCTGAGCTGGACCAAGAGAGGGCGCAATTCCCTAGCAACTGAGGCTCCTTTGGGGTGCACCCACGATAATACGCCAGAAATATGTCGGCCGAGCTCATTAATGAAAGTTGTACACTCAAAATAATCTATATTAGAGAGTCCTCAGAGCCATAACATTAAGACATTGTAGAAAAAGGGCACTGAGCCTCTGGCCCAGGCTCAATTCTGTTCAATTTTGGTGCAATCGGGTCCGAAAGAGGCACTATTTGGCCGTTTTGCAGAGGGATTTTCAATATTTTGCAGGGGCATTTTTTCTGGACTGGGGCATTTTCTTCATTTTAGGATGGTCTGCTTTAGGTGAAAACTTCTCAAAATGTCAAGCCCCCAAAAGTTGAAAGGAAAATGAACGTGGACATGTCGAACATCGTTTTTCTGTGCAGCTTAAGCACCTGTGAGAGTTGTGAGTATTTTTGAAATAATTGTGAAGTATGGGAATTTATTATTTGCTATCTATAGGAATTTATTTGTTGCGGTGGTTGGAACTGCACTTCGCTGGTTCACGAACGTCTATGAAATGCACACGTTACGGTCGTGTCGCTACTCACAAAACGAACAGTCCCGACCAGCATGGTTGTGTTCAATCGATGAGGGGTGTTTCTGCTTCAGGCGGATAGGCCTTGGGTATTTTGGAAGAGAAAACAAGATGCGAACAGTGTGGAATCCTAGATGTTAATGAGCTGTTTGAATGTCTCATCATGATTCTTATTCGGAAAATTTTCTCATAACCCAAGAAATGTTGCTTCTATGATTAAATGTAAATATTAATGTTCTTTTTTTCCACAGAAGAGATAAGGATCCAGCGAGGCTTGTATAATTACTTGTTTGTTCAACAAAGATTCCTTATTGACACAGGTGCATAATGGTATAGTCGCGTGACATCATGCACATGCTCTTTAATACATCACCAAATACGGCAAAATGAGCTTGTACGATGGGTGGACATGGAGATTGCCAGGGCAAATCGTGCCGAGTGGTTTGTGGAGAGAATTATCATCGTCGATTGGTTCGGCACCAGTCCCCCGAATCTGTACTCCATACAACAAGGGATGTCGACAAATACCATAGTCGTTGCGACACACTGGTATCTTAAAAGCATCAGAAAGCCAATTCATACAATTGTTGGAGCTGGCTGTAATCTGGGAGATGAAACTATGTCACACTTTTGGCTTCTTCTGCACGTCTTTTTCGTGTAGGTCGAAGCTGAAGTACGTATGCTCGGATGTTACCTATAGATGACACGTGCTGTGGCGTTGCATTTTTACAGCAATTGTGTAATTATGTAATTGCCAATGCCGTGAAAGCTACCTTTGCCCCAGTGTTAAGTATATAACTCCTGAGTTCTGGCTCTGATGTACCAGAAAAAGTCATTCATGGACAAAATGACGGCCTGTATTTGGTAATTATAGACGGAATATCAAGCCCTTTAGTTTCACGTATAATCAGTCACCGTTTGTGAGCGTATGTGTGAAATATGTACTGCGATTGTAGAACAGTTCTCAACGTTATTCGTTAGGAGGTTGTCATCGTCAATGGGCTTTTCATAACAGACCATAGCCTATTCATATTTGATGGATATATCTTTGTTTGTAAATTTATAAATTTTTATGCTGACTTTAAACGAAAAATCTAATTCAATGTGAACAATTGCAAGCCAAATCTGAATAATTGGAAAGATCTGGCACAATCCAATGGCCTCTTTTATTTTGAAACACGTTTAACAATAAACCAGTTGGTATTCCAACAGCGCATGCCCACAACAAAGCGCGTCAAAGGTCAGTCGGACACGGGTGCAGGGTCTGCCCTATCAGGACGGCCCTTCGCGGACTCGCGTTTGTTTTATTCCTGAATGATCTTGCCTTCTTAAAATACTGAACTGGCTCATCGGGCGTTCAATATTCCACAAAAATTATACACTCTTAGGTGAAAGTTCCGCAGCATACGTTCACCTCCTTTGGAGTGTACACAGGGGCGTATCTAGGAGATGGGGGACTTTTTATTCATTTGTATTTTGTTTAAGAAATTTACAGGCACGGGGGGAAGTGATAACTCGTTTTTTGGTGAAAGAATTAGCACCATAGTTTTTCGGGGGGAAAATCTATTCTGCCCCATACCCACCCAAAACCTGCATG